TTTACCTAGGTAGATGAAAGTATCCTAAAACTTTTTTGTCTCTCTAAAATTTTTCCAAAAACGACTAATTTTTGAGAAAAAAAATAATAAAGCAAATACTGCACGTTAAACATCGGGGTTGTCGATCAAAAGTTGGAATGAATTTTTAATGAAAAAATCTTAGTAGGCTCTGTTATCTTTGTCAGAAATATTTTTGACGTTAAAATGTCAGTTTTTCTTACTATTATTATTGTTTTTCAAATTAATTTTTGAACAAAGTTCTATCGCATTTACGCTCGTTCACTCGACGTTTCAAAATTTTAAATAAAACAATAATAAAGTAAGAAAACCACTGACATTTAAACGTCAAAAATATTTCTGACAAAGATTGCAAAGCCTACTAAGATTTTTTCATTAAAAATTCATTCCAACTTTCGATTAACAACCCACAGCTTAACAATTAGTGTTTGCTTAATTATTTTTTTTCTCAGAAATTATTAATTTTTCGAAGAACATCAGAGAGACAAAAAAGTTTTATAATAGTTTTATCTATCTAACTAAAATTTTTCCAATGTATTTATCATCTTCATATAAAAAATCTAGGCATAAATTGAACGGGGGTGGTTACGTTTAGTAGTTTAGAAGGGTAGGTGCAAAGTACAAATAGGGTCAAAACGTGCCCTATTATGAGTTAAACATATTCCCCAAATTTCATTTTCCTAGCGTTTATGGTTTTTGAGAAAAAAAAAATAAACCAAAATTTTCCGCCATTTTTAGAGGGGTGTAGCTCCTGAAGGGAGCCGAAGTCGCCCATAGTTCATATATCAAAGTACCCTTAAAATTCACTAAAGAATCACCCCTTGAAGTTTGTTGCAGTCATTCAGATACACCCTGTATATCGGACAAACGGGGAGGAGGCTGGAGACTAGAATCCGGGAACATAAAGTCAAAACAAATTCGAATATCTTCAAACCACATAGAAACTGGTCATAATATAGATTATGGAGGAGTTGAACTTTTACATTCATGTAATAAAAGCACTAAACTAGATTTTCTTGAAATTTTAGAAATTACTAAACAAAAATATTAATAATTTTCAACTCCTGAATGAACAACTTCAACTCTTTCGCAAACCTATTTTTTCATATCTAATTAATTTCAATTTAAAGATTTAATTTTTTAAATTTTTTGTTGTTTCCGGTTTTATTGCGTTCTTACTTTTCTGGTTCTCGGTCGTCAGTCTCTTCTTCTCGCTCCGCCAAGATGGTCATACCCAAGGTTTATATATAAGAGGTTGTCTAGGTTCGTACGCAACCATACTGCGCATTACGTCACATGTGGAAAATAATACCGCCAAGCAATTCAAATTAAACAAAGGCATGGAGCACCACATGGCCATGAGGTTGCGTGCGCAATCCGTGATCGCTTACGTCACGAAACACTCCTGCTCTTGCCCCTCGCCCACAAACTAAAATCAAAGTATTGCAGCATAGGAACTTAGACAACCTTTAATATACATATAAACCTTGGGTCATACCTGCGTCGTAATAATTCATTATTGATTTTCACGAAGAATTTTATTTAAACTCAACTAAAGTTTTTATTTTGTAAGTTGTTTTATGATATTTTGGCTTTAATTGATTTGGTTCATTGTTTTTTAGATTACATTATAACTTTTTTACTCATCACGTCACGTCTCATGTCTCCTCCATTTTGATTTTTTGCGAATTTAACGATTTTTCTGGTTATTGTATAAAATTTAAATTTGTTCACTTTTTCAAAAATTTTTCAACATTTCAAAACGTTTTTTAAGATGATTACATCTGTTAGCTTCGCCTGTTGACAGTGAGTATTTTGTTTTGTTCGTTTCATTTGTTAAAAGATTTTTTGTCTTATAAGATAGATTAATTGCATTTTTATTACTTCTATATAGTTTTCGGCTGAGGATGGAGTTGTAAACTTCGAAACCGGTCCCGATTAAAATATTTATGCAAGTGCAAAGTTAACCTATTTTGTTTTATTTAATTCTATATTCAAATTTTATTTGCAACATGGATATCTATCTCAATTTTTATTTTAATATAGGTAAATATTATAATTTGTAGAGATCCTATATTTTTTAAGGCCTTATTTATCTTTTTTAGAAGCAGGCGACACTATAAACACTACTATTGGATGCTATGCATGTTGCCAGATTTCATCAGATTTTTTTGGTGCAATATAATAATAACCAGAGTGTCTGTTAGCATGGCTCGAAATTAAACGGTCAGTATTATTAAAATGTTTGCGGGACTAAAGCGAACAATTGGCATTTTCCAGCCATGGATAGATTAAAGGTCAACGTCACAAAAGTATATATTAGTTGAGTTTTCAGTTCAGTTTTCCAATAATAACAGTGTAACCATAACTCTAGAGACCACCAGTGATGTGAATCTAGTAAAACTATAGTAGCATCTGCGCTATCTTGATTTTGAAATATAATCCACTCTAGTTTCCCATATTTTCCGACATTTCACAAGATTTTATTGAATTCGTTAGTTACTATTATTAATAATAATAGTGATGAGTGGATTGAGTAGCCCAGGAATCATCACTGCCGGTTGTAAGCCCAGATAAAGGAGGAGGATTGGGCTAAAGGTTAACAATCCATTCCCGTAAAACTTAATTGTACCGAAATCTACAACCTAGCCTCGGATGGGTGGTCTTATCAACGACGACTACCACGAACGAAATTGGATTATGAGGTTGGAACATGGAACCTTAGAATATTGAAGAAGTCTTAGTATTGAAATAAAGAAATATAATCCAACAATCAAAGCTATACTAGAAAGTAGACGGTTAGGTATCAGACTAGGCATCAGGGGCACAAAAACCCCTACTATAATGTATAGCGGGAAACACACATGCCCAAGGAAACTAGGAGTAGCCTTTATAGTGGATAACAAAATAAAATCGATCATAGTGCACTTTTAATCCATAAGCGAAAGACTATGCAAATTAAGAGTACGTGCAAAGTATTGCGATGTAACAATTATAAATGTATATAGCCTAACAGAAGAGCTGCACCAAGATAAAAAAGAGACAATTTATCAGTAAGTAGAATTCGAGTAGCGTACGATACGATCCCTGGAAATGATATTAGTACTTGGACTTTACAATACTACTTGGAGACACAAATGCAAAAATTGGCAACGATGTCGAATATTTGGGCAGCATAGAAAGACAGCTTACACAATGAGACTAACGAAAACAGTGAATTATCAGCTCAACATGCTTCCCATACATGAATGTACATAAACCGACATGGATCTCACCAGACGGTATCACAAAGAACCAAATAGAACATATGTTTAAACATAGAAAACTAGACATTGAAAAACTGAAAATACCGGAAACACAATGCAGAATGAAGGAGGAAATAGAAGTGAAGATGTTCTGTTTCCAGAACAACCAAATATTAAATATGGAGAACAGTGATTAGACCAATTGTCAGTTAATCATGGACGTTGACTCAGAAGTCGGCAGAAATTGTAAATATTTTTGATATTAAAGAGAATAATAAGGCCAGTATAAGAAATTTATATATGGAAATCAAGATACAACCATCACATTTATAAGGACTCGCCATTATCGAAGTTCATCAGACTCTAGCGTGTAAGATGAGGTGGTCATGGGATTAGAATGGGAGAAGAGAAAATGCTTAAGCGACTAATCAGTAGAAGGATGCAAGGAGGGCAATCAGGATGCAATCAGTCGGGACGCCAAGGTGGTGATAGGGAGAAGAAAGTGGTCAGAGACAGGGAAAATTGGAGACAAAGGTTGAGGTTGGCTAAGGTTCAATTCGGGCTCTAGAGCCAGAGAGAGAGAGGGAGAGAGGTTATTTATAAAATTAGGAAAACATTTTTTTTTTGAATTCTTTTTGTTCATATCCATCTATAGGTATATATTAATTATAAGGATGACATATATCTTTAAAATTTACATGTACGTTTCTACATAGATACGAAAAATCATATATTGAATTAAGTGTTTATCGGCTTCAGAAACACTTTAATAACTGTGTTATTTTCATTTTTTAATGAATATAATAATACTTGTTTTCAATGTAGGATTAGATATTATATCGTTAAAAGTAGAAATGCACGCCACTAGTTGAGTGGCAGGGAATTTCCGTGACTGGGAATTATGGAAAATTAGCTTTGTTGTGTTTGATACATTTTATCTTGTAACATCGAAAGTGCCACTCACATTAAATGCAGTTTGTTAATGAATGATAAAATGATTATAGCGTGCATATACCTATATTATTGTTTATTTTATATATACGGATTATTTAATGGAATATTTATATAGTACGGATTAGTTTAAAGTGGAAAGTGTTTTAACGAAATCTGAAATAATAGATAAAAAGGAATTTAAAGTAATTATAACTGCGATATAATTTTTAATCTGTTGTAATTAAATTATGACAAAATTTTATATTAAATTGGTCAGTATAACAGTATTATTTTAATTATTGAAATATATTTATAAATGCTCTTAAAATTTATACGTGAAAACAACGCGTGTGGTTTCATGAATAAAATATATCTGAATTAATAACGTTACTACTAATTACAACGGGGTGAATTTTAACATTTTAACTGGAAATAAAGGACAGCGTAATAAAATTGAGTGTTCCTAATTTAAATGCTTTTGACCTATGTAATTTGGCTTTTTATGCATTATGAACTTATTAACAATAAATTTTTCGATGCTGCAATGAACGATATTCTGAAATTACAAAATCGTTTATGGACCATGTTTAACATAATTTACGGTTGAAATTTAATGTTAAGTTAACAGGTTCAAATCTTAAGTACTTTGATTCACGCTACGACTCGTGACCGGTTGCTGGTTAAGGGAACGGACCTTTGCACTTAGATAACATTAATTTATAAATTATTCAGCATGTTTCCACTTTACCTTAATCATCGCATCCAAAATTATATTTTATTTCACTTTTAATATGTTTTTGATCCTCATTTTTATTTTAAAAATAATTTAATAAATTTTATAAAATATTATTGCGCACTTTTATATAATATTGAATATATATTGCTGAATAGAATTGCTTGTTCAGCGTCCGAAATGGGTTAATTTTCCGAATTACGGAACAAAAATAAAAATAAAAAAACTTTGAATTCGCAGGCTTGTGTAATTTAATCAACTTCCGGGTGGTGGCGTAACTCACTTAAATTTAAAATGAACTAGGGTGGCCAAAGCGTGTCCCACCGGCTATATATCTTATTGTTAGAGTGCTACTGCATTTTTGGTAGACTTTTTCGTAAAGCGCAAATATTCGTCGATGTCGCTCGCTCACAGCTAGCGGACGAACACAAACATAACGTTTGTGGACCACAGAATGCACACTGGTGAGAATTTATTTTCTAGTCGTTATAGTTCCTTCGTCGACGCGACGTTTTCGGCCGCAAGAGCGACAGTGTGACAGATACGTATGGATATTTCTCTTCACGTTCACGTTCCTCTTTGTATTCCTCCGTATATATTTTACCAACTATTTATGTGCAGCGACCGCGGGAGCATTAGCTTGAGAAATATGTAGACCGTGGCGTGTTTTCGCGGGCAAAGAGTTTCCGCTCTGGTTTCGTGTAATTTTCGACGCAAACTAAACCGGAATTACAATAGGAAATTGTGTTTGTTGACGCTTCAACATAAATTTAATAGCGAGGAAAACCGAAACGTGATCTATTTATAAAGTTCTGAGATTGAAATGTTATACATTTTTACTCCCTGTCTTTTACATTATTCAGATTTAAATTTATTATGTATTTGATTGTAAAAATGTGTGAGGGTAAACTGACTGGTTATACGGGGGAAACGTTCTATTTAAAGGAAATTTCTTACGTCAATAAAGTTGTGGGGGGATAAAATACGCGTGAATTAACTTAAGGGTTAGGGTGGTTACAACCCTTATAAGGTTGCGGTTGTGAGAGTAATCAATAATTTTACATTGCTTGTTAAGCACCATACATTTTATAATTCACTTAGTAAACATTTAAAAAAATATATGTGTAATATAAAAATATAATTTCTCATAACTTGTTTAAATTATTTAAAAAACTCTAAACTCGGGTTATTTCCCAAGTTGCTCTATTGCATGTTCATAGATAAACTCGGGGCATTCCCCGAGTTGTCTATACGGGGCATAAATCAAGGACGGTAGTTCTAGTTTCAATACAACAACCTAGCGCTGGATAACAATTAAAACTAGAACTAAGACTAGACCTGGAACTAGAAACATTCGGGTTTAGCCGTGCGTCTGAGGACTTAGTTTTAGTTCAATAAAAGTATACCATAACCTGAAGCTGAATAACAACTAAAACTAGAGCTAGAATTAACACTAGAGCTAACACTAGACCTGAAACTAGAAACATTCGGGTTTAGCCGTACGTCTCTTAAAACGGCTAATCCCGAATGTTTCTAGTTCTAGGTCTAGTGGTAGTTCTAGTTTTAGTTGTTATTCAGCGCTAAATTGTTGTATATTTTTCGTTGAACTTAAACCAGAACTGACACTAGATCTAAAACTAGCAACATTCGGGTGTTATTAGCAGCTCCCGTTTTGTGTTCGTAAGCCCAGTTGCCGCAGGACTGGATTGTGGCCTGATACAGCTTGGGGATGATGTAGAGTTCATATGACATCGTCACTTTCTTCAACACAGAGTAATCGTGAACGTTGAAAGTGCTGGTTGAATACATAGTGGGTTCCTGCGGGTCAATTACCGTTGATTAAGAAAAATTTCTAGATTTCTGTCGGCAGGCGTGGGCAATTTGGAGCTCCTATTACAATAGTTATAATTCAATTCCCCTTCTAAGATGATTTTCTGGGGGAAGATTCTGTTTAAATCGGCTGTAGATGGTGAGTCAGTGATCGCAATGGCAACACTAGTGGCTTCCAGGTGTCATACGTCCGGTATTGGGTTGACGTGATGCTTGATTGTAGTTTTAATCATATGTTTTGATGTTTCTTCGTGGTTAGTTAGATGATCTGGTGTACATTGCGAAATTTGAAACACTTAAATGACGGGACAGTAGAACTTCAGTATCGTTGATCAGCACCATTTTAGCTTCTGATCCTGCGTTGAATTTGAGTAGCTGAAGCAATATCATTAGTGAAATCAATGGAAAGAACTTGTTGAAGGTTTTGTCGATGTTATCTTCTAGTCGTTCGTTTAAGTGTCGTCTTTGAAGGCTTGGTCGCGGATGTCATCTCTACCTTGGTTCAGTTTTAGCGCTAGTATTCGACGTCTTGGTGTGTAACTTGTTTTCAGGTATTCTTGTTGGACTTTTGGGGTTGTTGGTCTTCGTAAGTTCTGAGATTTGCTTCATGACACCAAGTCAGTAGATTTTCGTTGTTGAGCCTCACTCGTTCTTATAGTTACAATATACCCGGTTGACATAAACAGGCTGTATTAGCCGAGTAAACCATTGCAAAGAGCTTACATGTTCTTCATGCTTATAGAGCTGGTACCGTTAACATTCTAGATACTCTTGGATTCTATAGTAGTATTGTCTCCACCAGAAGTAAAACGAGGAGACGAATGTTTCTAGGTCTAGTGTTTGTACTAGTTTTAATTGTTATTTAGCGTTAGATTGTTGTTTATTTTTCATATAACGGACTTTTTGCTATAACAGACTCTTCCTTTTCGGTATTAATCCGTTATATCAATTATTTCCTTTATTATTAAAGGTGTTACAGTTCCAACACAATTTTCTCACATTCTTCTTTATTCACTCTGTATTCTTATACAGGTGACTTATTTCATTTTACTTCAGCTGTTGTGGGATGTTGATATTATTTTGGTTTTCATTGAAAGTGTTTTATAATCAATTCATTAATAAGGGATTTTGTAACACTCTTTTCAACTTATTATCTTTGCCGATTCTAATTGGCACGATTAAAGTCCTTTGTTAAAATTCCGAAATTCTTATCCCAATTTGAAACTTAAATCACCTCCGAATAAAGGGGTTGAATCAATCTTGCCTTCTTGTTTCTGTTTCGACCTCTCCGCCAAATGGATCCGTGCAATTTATTTCGAGTGTCACTTCGGAGTTTCATTAAATTCTCTAATTGCGAGGTTTTGCAAGGTAATATCAAAGGCGGAGACGCCTTCCAAGGTAAAAGTTTGTATAAATCCGCGTTTATAAAACCGTAGATCCTTCACGGATTTACACGTACGGTATTTCCGGTTTTAAAGTGCGCCTAGACAAGTGTTTTCATTTATACCGATCCCCGAATTTTTCCCCTAACTGCCTTTTCGCGCGAGAATTTTAGCAGGGCGTGTCGGGGAGATGTACACCCTAAAAGGTTGGGTGTGGTAAAATATAAATAAAGAGGTAGGTTTATCTACCTTTTTCCGACACACGCACCCACCATCACAGGATCCACATCGAGGATTTATTCGTTCGTCCCGCCGTTAAAAGAAAGGTTTATAGATTCCGCTTGTGTGTGTTCTTTTGGGAGACGTAGTATGACCCTGGTTTTGCCCATTACAATCCTTTAATACTTCTTTTCGCGAAGAAGTTTTTATCGTTTTTATCCACGGAGCGCGTGTTTTCCTTCCGATATAAATTCGCCGCCTTGTTTCTCCACATTAACCGCGCAATATGTTTCTTTGTACCGTCAGCACCTTCGTTCTTTTTTTGTGGGTTTTCTAGAGACGCTACCACACTAAGTGCTTTTGCTTTCACGTTCCTTTATTACTTTGATACCGGGTATCGTTAAACGTGCTCTACGCTACCTACTCTATTAAGTTTCACTAATGACAGATGGGAGTACCTGTGGAACGTGGGGTTGTGTTTAAATTGGTCGAGTGTTCACCACAGATAGTAATTTCATTCTATAATGGTATTAAAACATTATTAAACACTTAACATAATTTGTTAATTAAATACAATAACTCAATTATATTCTTAAAATATTATTATTAAACATGCGGATGATTAAAATTGAAAAATGCAAATTCCGTTATTATTATTTTATAATGTTAATGAAGATGATATCAAAATCCAATTCGGTTTCGCATAAAATTTTAATACAAAGTATGAAGCGAGTATTATTCAAAGTTGTTATTATAAGGTGGAGTTGTTGAATTCTCATCGACCCTGGAGACTAGAACCCCTTGTAAATTATACCGGCTTATAAATTTCATGGTCACGAAGATTTGCGTGGTTTAATTGAATACTCTTGGGAGTTTAATAATACCCAACAAAAATGTGGAAATATGGAAATACAGTTTATCTAGAGTTATAAAATTTTAGAATCACAAAAATGATGTTCACCTTCGTTAGGGAATTAATAACGAACGTATGTGGTAACTTTATCGGGTGTCGTTTGTTGTAAATTAGGATCGACGGCAATTCGGCACAGTGCGACGATATTTAAAGCTTGTCAGAACTAGTGACTCTCAGGTGAATTACAATCCACTCTGAGGCGTATTTCAACTGGGGCCATAAAAGTCGGACGCGGTTGACGCTCCCCATTTCTACCCATTCCCGAATCGATTCGGATTCGACGATATATACACACGTTTCGTAATGTACGAACAGTACGAAAAGCGTCTACGTTGTGCCGTTAGTCGGGCACAATGGTAAAATGTCTTTCCTCGCCTTACATATAGAGAACGCTTCGTATCGGTAACCGTCAAGATAAGAAGATGCGGAATACCTTTGTTCCGCGCGAACGGAGGCGTGCATACGCTTCAAGTGTGTATGTGAGCATATCTCTGTGCAGAATCGCGGTACACGTTTCATCTCTTCAGACCAACTTTATTGGTAGCAAAGACGGCGACAGGTCTCGCTCCTGTTCCCAACTTATAGCCGGAATTTAGTACCGAACGTTCATAAGTGTTTTCTTTAAAGCTAAAATTTTGTTTATTTACTATTATATTATCTATCTCGCCAAAAGAATATTTTTTAACACCCCAATTCTGCAAAATATGCCAGCAACTTCATAGAAAATTAATTTTGATTTTGAAAATGTACATTTAAAACTCTTTTCTTTGTGCAGAATGTTTTAATGATTCATTTAATCTTTATATTACTCGAAGCTAGAAATAATTTGACAGCAGATATGCACCTTGTAGAAATATGGCAAAGATCTCGTAGTACGATACAAACCCTCTGCGCGGTATGTTGTAATTATATCTGCATCTACATAAAGATGTTATGGTAAAAATGCTTATGAAGATAAATGTTAAAGATTCCCAGGGATCCCTTTCTTCGTGGACTAATCATCAACAAGCTGAGCAAACTTATTAGCTCACTCATAAACAAAAACAAGACATTTCGAATACGGACTCTTGGGGTCATACTATTTGACCATTTAATCTTTCTTCTCTAATATAAAACTGTAAAGATTTGGAACATCAATGAATTGACTTCATCACAATTTTAAATCTAAATCGCATTATAATGGAAATAACTGCAGCTGATATAATCACATTAGTAACTATGGCTGTTACTGTCTCTGCAATAAGCAATAAAATCAAGTTCTTTTTGTATTCCCCTGGGGATTCTTTATAGGGAATTTTATAAACCATTTCACAACATTTAGACATTTCTGGACAACTCTCATCTCTATTGTGGTGCTTTAAATTACCGAGACTATTGGACAAAGTCTTGTGTCTCCAGACTATTGAAAAGATACATCAACACAGAATATGATGAATGTGTCAGAAATGCTTATACATTACCATCCTCACAGAGAAGCATTGATACTAGAGATGCGTGAAAGTAGTTTTACGTTAAGAGTTTGATGCTCTGATAATAGTGATGCGCCCAATGGAGAGGTGACAGAGATTCCCATGCGTCTCTTTGGAGTTGGATGCACTTTTAAATAAAAAATGGACTACAAACTAGTACAAAGAGAGATGATAAAACTGCTCTTATCGTTTAGAGATATTTTGAGCTCGAAATAAGGTGTACAGGACAGAGGTCCACAAACGTAACTAAGAGTTGTTAGAAATGCGTTGTTACTGTAAATGTCTTCGGTATTGAAGTTAAAGGTTTTTCACCACGATTCACCACGAGTTGAATGTATTTTTTACTAGTATCGCTACCGTAATAAGCTTATTCTCAGGATTACATAACATTTACCCAACATTTCATGTAGCTATTACTCAAGGTTCATATCCATATCTGTTATTAAAGAATTAATTAATACTTAACTTTAATCTTGTACCCATATTTCACATCACCTTTTAACTTGGAAACTCTTATGATATAAAGAATCCAATATTAATCTTATTTTCTTCATATTTATATATTAAGACTGAAATGTAGAGAAGTGCAATGTAATAGTACGAAAGTTTTTGGATTGACTTTCGACAGTTTATTTCTCTTTTTGCTTTACGGTGTATAAATGCAATGGGAACATTTCAACATGAACTATGTGCTTTTTATCGCTTTCACAAGAAGTCTGAATATTTTACTCTGAAAACGAAGTTTACGTATAAGTCCCAACAGTATTGTACTGCGAGACATATGTGTCCCTGGAGTATTAAACTATGAAACTTAAAGTTCCCAGTAGTAATGTGATAATTAAAATTCTATATTCGGAATGTGACCTTTCTTGGAATATCTTTCCAATCATATCGATTAAATCAAGTTTCGTCAACCAGCAAATGTCATACCAGTAACTATCTCGAAGCGTATCATTAGGAGGTTTATATATTGTGGGTTGATACATTAGTATTGAAAAAATTTGGCTAACGGGGATTTGAAAAAAACGTGTCCAATTGGATTAAAACATAAATTGTAAAATAAAGGTCACATTTACTTTATTGATGTATTTGTACCTCATGTTTTTTGCCTCTCGTAATGATATTGACGAAATTTATATTTTAAAATGTCACTTAAAAAGAAATATATAGACGATCTATTTTTACATTTTAATATATCGTGCCATTCGAGAATAATCAATATCGAGAACTGGAACAACTGTCCCATTTCAAAATCTACGGCCGTAGTTGCAGGTGACACATTTCGTTGTGGAAAATTTGAGACGAGGGCGAATGGATGTGGAGTTCTAAAAAAATTTTCATTAAGCTTGACTTGTACTTGCGTAACGTTTTCTTTTTTCGAGTTTTGTCGGCGCCCGTGAGCTACATTTTTAACCTGCCGAGCAGGATTAAATTCTGCTAACCAGCTAACCGCTAATTAGGTTGAGGCACCTTTTTATTCCGGCTGCATAAAACGCAATCCGGATACGGAACGAAACCTTAAAAGCAATTTATCCTTAGATAATTTTTCATTTACGTTTTTCATAATAGAGGTCCATAATGCTCTTCCTATTGGATTGGATTTCTTTTCTTCCGTTACGTAGGTCATCATTCTAATTTCCCCAGATGATTAAAACGTTCCTATTACGGTTAGTGCGCGGTCGGGACAATTTTTATGATTTATTTCAACTGCAGTCCGTATACCATTGTCGAGCAGCTGAGAGAATTCTAACAATGGTTGTTGCAGGAGTCCTAACTCAAACAAACCTAACCTAACAGTTTCCTCAACAGACCGCGGTAAATAGACATCACGTTTATGGCTATTTTCTATTGTTAAAATGAACTTGTACATACACTCATCTTTAAACAAATACAATAAAACTTCGATATAACGGAACTTACATATAGTTAGAATGCACTTCGTATATAATGAAACAAAATAGTTTAAAATCATACTATTAATATGTTGATAATATTAATAATAATAATATAATATTAATAGTCGAGTTATTCCCCAAGTTGTTCTATTCCATGTTCATAGATAAATTTGAGTTGTTTATACTGTGTATAAATCATGGACGATTGTTCTATTATTGTATATTTTTATTAATCTAAAAGTAAAACTAACGCTAGACTAGGGTAGCCGCACATCTCTTAATACAGCTAAATCTGAATGATTCTAGTGATTCTAGGTCTTGTGTTAATTCCAGTGATAGTGCTAGTGCAAAACTAGAGCTAACACTAGATCTAGAACTAGAAACATTCGTGTTTAGCCTCACGTCTTTTAAGACGGCTAAACCCGAATGTTTCTAATTCTAGATCTAGTGCTAGTTCTAATGCAAGTATTAGTTCTACTTTTAATTGTTATTCAGCGATAGACTGTTATATATTTATCATTGAATTAAAACTAGAATTAAAACTCTGAAGACGCAAGGCTAAACCCGAAACTTTCTAGTTCTAGGTCTAGTGTTAGTTCTAGTTTCAGTTGTTACATAGCACTAGATTGTAGTGTATTTTTGTTGAACTAAAACTAGAACTAACTAACAAAGAATGCAACGGTGTGGATAGCTGTTGGAATTTGTGTGTATTAAAATTATTCATTAAAACAGTTTAAAGTGCAAATAATTAGAAAAGAGAATAATAACGAAATTATATTCATGTGTTTGCACTTCATAAATAATTTTATTTTAGATATATGAAGTGAAGACAAGTAATGGTAATAGCATAAAAGACTTTTTACGAGAAAGGCTAAAATCGATTTTGTCTAAAACCATAAAGCAGGTTGTACGCTAGGAATGGTCAGCCACCGCCATAACTATAAAATTTTAAACGCCATTAAAAAATAATATTACATTACAGCTTTATGGCTATTAAGGGCAAATTATACCAAAATTAAATTATTATATGCGCTTACCTTGCAGCCATAAAGTAGAGATGAGCACGCCCAGAACTGCAGTAGAATAAATCATTTTTGTTACTCCTTCCTCCACCGTAGTCGGAATATTATACTCTGAAAGTTTTAGAAAAGTTACTCAACATCTTATAAAAAGTGTAGTATTACTTATTGTTAGTACTAGCCCTATGTTAAAGCCGACTTAATTAAAACATATTCTACTAAGCTACACTTGTAAAGCAGTAATTCAAAAAACAAGTATGCGACTTGTATATTGGTGCAGCTAAAATTGAGTTTCTTGCCTTTGTTCTATAGCTTTTTGTACATTTTTTTCTTTCATAGTAGGATTTGGTTCTTAATTAACAGTCGTTTGCGTTAATTTAATAATAAAAAATCCAATTTAAATTCATCGCGACGGTATTCGAAGTTCCTTTTAATTTCTTCTTATTGAATATTCATTAATACGAATAATGACCCTTATTAGAAATTCACTGTGGATTTTTGAAATCTTCATTCGCACGAATTTAAATAAAATCGCTCAAGGTTTGTGGGTGAAAATTAAAAGTTAATTAAATAATAGCACTAATTGAAATTGGGTCCAATTATCGTATTTTGTATATGTCGACAGAATTCGTTAATTACCGCGTTAATTGTCGATTTAAATTTGCACGTTGGGTGTAACACTGTTTCGGATGTTGTTGTTGAATGTTTTCCATTATTAAACGGTTATGTTTGATTATCAATTGGATGTCGGGTTCGCGCAAACACATTATAAAACCACAATCAACATTTCGTAAAAAAAAAGTAAACAAACGGTGTAAACAATTTTTTTTTTCGTTACTTTCATAAGGTTTTAAAATTTTAATATTCAGGTTCATTCAGCAACGATGCCTAGAAGACTGGGTAATATTTTCGTTCAAAGATTGAATTTTATTGAATAAAGCGGGGAAAAGATTGTTCCATGTTCGTCGTGGTGGAAACCGCTATAATATTTCGGTCATAAAGGGCAAATCCCTGCAACCTCAACCCCAATAGAGTAGGAAGGCATACTCTTTCGGACGCAATTCCCTTCGTAAATGAAAAAGACCTTTTCCATTCATTGTTCAATACGCGAACAGCAAAATTATCTTTGTGGATTTTTGTCTTAAAATTTTTAAGACGACGTTTTAACTAAGCTTTTAATTAAATGATTTATTCGTAAGAGAAATTATTAACTATTATTACACAAATAGATGATTTAATTAATATATAATATTCTCATTTATAATTCTTGTAATGTAATATTTTAGTAAACTTGGACACAACTTTAGATCTTTTCCTTCTCTTAGGCATTAATACTTAGAAACTCATTTCGAAACGGATGTAATTTTAGTAGCAACCGGAGCAAGGATTAGAATATTAATTTTGCCTAAGTGCCTACGAGGACAGCTCTGACATCTTAAGATCGATGGTGAGATATGCATTTCCACCATCTTACTAAAGGTATACGCATTAAAGCTATATACAGGACAAACCAATTTGTATTAGACTGTCAATCACAGAGGATAATCTTAATGAGTTATCCCGATATGATTAATAAATTGAATTAATAAAAAATGTTTTTTCTGAATAGAGAAAACAATAAATACCCATAAATTATAAACTGAGTATAAGAAAAATACAATTGTGGTTTTTCTCGTAAACTTTTCGAGCACTCTAAATTATGAAAAACTGCGCCGCATTTTATATCACTCTTTAGGGATTCCTTTTCTAATAAAACAAAGTTCGTGAATTCGAGTTGGACTTTATATTGGGTTCGACTATGCGCCCACCCCCCTCGAAAAGAAAATTTGCTCATTCAGTTTAGATGGATAAAACTCTAGATTCAAGACATGCCATTTTCGTTAAAACTTTCTTCAATTCCACTTAAGGCATGTGGATATGATATGATAATTAGATAGCATATTAAAATTCAAAGAAACTTTAAAAGGAACATTTTAACTAGTTTTAGTTAAAATGTCTGAACAAGAACGATAAGAAATTACTTAATTGGAACGGTTATTCTAGAAACTCGACACATTTTACATTTAAGCATTTCAACTTTAAAATAAAGACATTTCATCAACTCGGATATAAATGAGCATAGAAAGGACATAAAACGCTTAAGCGAGCTTTTCAATTGGCATTAATTTAATTTAAACATTTTAAAACTATTAATGAGCTCGAGTTTTAGAAAGCCTCTTAAATACATAAAACGTTACTTTCGAGACTTTTCGACATTTCTCTAGTTAAAGCCCATAAAAGCTTAAAGAAGGTATAAGAGTTGCTTTCTGCAACAGCAACCTTCACGTTGTGCAGATACCAACCGCAAACTCTATCTGAATTAAGGAACTGAAACGTGAACATCATTGCTGAAACGTCTATTACTACTCTATACTCCAAGATTCTCGCTTATTAAAGTGCGTATTAAGGTGGAAAGATTTGGCTAATGAGCACTTACCTCATAGAATTTGAAGACGTTGCTTAATGCGAATACAGCAGGAAATAATTAAATAATTTATATTCGACTTGAAATCGTTAACAGATGTTTTTATATCATTATTATACAATCCACGTCAAAAGTAACTCCTTCCTGTTTCTTATTTCTTTTTTTTATTAGCCTAAATATTTGAACATAAAAATTGTTTTACTTTTAGTTTTTTCGGAAAATGGGTCAACTGTGTTTTTATTAATGAAACAGTAATGTTGAAATGATTCCTACATCAGTTGAAACGTGTTGAAATATCGATAAAGTTATGGGTAAAGTAATTACACTACCATACAAACTCGACCGGCGAAAAATAGTAGCACAATTACACTTCGAGACTACAAGTGGTGTAATCAGGTAGCAAATAACGTTCTTGATAATTATCAAGAGCTATTAAATCAATCCATTCCTATCTACCAATCTATACTCTACTATATTGGAGGATAACAAGTTATGGGCATCACAAATAATTATTAAAATTATTATTTTATGATGAAGAACCATTCGGGATGAAGAACAGAAAAAGTGAGATTATCTTCAATAAATCAAAATCTTACAGGTCAATGTAGTTCTAAAACATGAAAATGGATATGATTGGATTAATACGAAGAGAGAGAAATCTGTTCCATAGAAGACATACCTTGCACCATTCTCTCTCCAATAGGAGAGAATTGGACACAGTGCACCACATAATCAGATTATTGCATAAAACATTCAATGAGCGCATAATTTCACGTAATGGTCCTGTGAATTGATCTTCGCGATTATGTGATTTTACCTCTGGATTATTTTCTATGGGGATGTATGAAGTCGCTGGTCTACTCACATAAATCAATTTTATTGCCGACACTATTCTACACTAACCTATTTTTTGTATCACTACTTCTGGGTTTTTACATTAATCAAAGAATTTTATAATTTATTAAAATTAACATATTTCTTATTTCAATTTAAGTTTTTAGTTTATAATTCAATTTCAATTCAATTACAAGTACCTTTACTTTATTAAGATTTTTTATAAGATTTTTTTGTTTATTTATGACGTTAGACGAATAGTACTTAATTTATAAAAATTTAATAAAGTTTAATAAGAAACTGTTGGGTAAAAATGAGATTTTTCATTTTATTTAAGAAAAAGAATAATAAATTTTTTGAAATGGTGTAAGGATAAAGAAAATTATGGAAGTTATAAACCAAAGATTATAGTTAAAGTTAAATTGTCCGCTGAAAGAGTAATATGTGGTTGACGTATATCGTTGAATATGTATCACATTTTGCAAAACCACACAACCGTATCCTGGCCTGATAAAATAGGAAAGTTGAAAAGGGGGGATACTTTCTCAACTCTTTATACCGAGAATTGTATAGTAAAACCTCCTTTATAGTAGCTTATAAATCACTAAAGGGGTATGAGTTTAGAGTAAACCGGCCGCGGTCAGCTCAGTCCGATGCAACAGATATCTTTGATTTATTATAATTCCAAGATAAAATTGATATATTACGTCGCACGGAATGAACTTCGGCGTGCTATTTATTTTGTTGGGAGGTTTAACAAACAAACTAATCGTGAGACTAATATTCCTTAAACGCGAGTACATTGCGCGCAAGTTTATTTCGTTTGCTTACCGAATTTAACGTTAAAATTTATTACGGTGTTCCGTTTTGCGCACAAATTTATATTCTCCCTGTTTCCCAAACATGCAATGCCGCATATCTTGTTAACAGGGCTTGTGAACTTTTATGTTCTAACTTTACTCCTTGTACCCATTTCGTTTGCATCTTATTTTCTTCCGTCAATTGTATATTCTTTTCAGTGTACACGTTTGATTTTATGTTTACCTTTTTCACTTTAACTCTACTTTACATATTACCGTTACAACGCGATTTTAATTTAACACGAAAACTTCCTGGATAACTGTTTTTGTCCTTGATAATTACAGAAACGTAGAAAACAGAGATTTCGAAATAAGTAAAGATTAGCGGGCTAGAATCCACCGCACAAATTGAGAATAATACCGGAGGACGAACGAGAGAACACCGCAAACAAGAAAAGCAAAGACCGTGAATCCCTCGAGAATAATTGGAGAAGGTATTAAGGATAAAAGAGAACTTATGAGATGGAGCTTCTATATCTCGAGAGAGATTTGCGAAAAAGGGAAAGGAAAAATATGAGAATTGGTTTTGACCGCTACATATTCATATATTTCAAATTTTTCTATTGTTCACTGAATCACATCGGAATAATCATAATTAACTTTATAACAGGATTCCTAATAATAAACCCAACACAAAGGTAAGGCTCCTTCAAGCGTTAAACCGATGGAGAACTTTGTACAATAAGTGTAATCAACTTGAAGCTTAGAAAATTCAATGAGCTTCTGAAAGTGAACACTAACAATAAAACACAAAGGGACTATTTAATGCATCCCTGCAAATACTGATAAGAGATGGATGAATCATAAAAAAAATAAATCACTTTGTTTATTAATCACGAAATTGGAATTGGGAACGCATAGATAAACCCGACTATTTCCAGTTCTAGTGTTAGTTAGATACATAGCTGTATATTTTTGTTAAACTAAAGTAGAACCAACGCTAACCTACAACTAGAAACATTCGGGATTAGCCGTACGTCTCTTAAGACGGCTAAACCCGAATGTTTCTAGTTCTGGGTCTAGTGTTAGTTCTAATGCTAGTGTTTGTTCTTGCTTTATTTGTTTTTCAACATTAGATTGATTTATATTTTTTATTAAACTAAAACTAGAAATTGATCTAGTATTAATCCGTTATATCGAGGTTTTATTATAATATTATTATACGATCATAATAATATATAATAAAATAAATAATACTAAAAATGTACGGTTAAAATATCTTTCGATAAAGATTTATAGTACATAGTTCGATATATTTTGAATGATTGATTCGTTGGACCATTTTTCACTGGCGATCGCTCTAAATCAAGAAAAATGCAATCAAGTGTTGGTTGAATTGCTTCTTGCGGAACTCAATATTTCCAACAGGATGAGCTTGTCCCATATAACGCTTGAATAAACGCTCGTTAAACGGAAAATTTTATGGAAAGGTAAGACTAAAAATGAACATCGCGAAGATGTATTCCAACATTTATGTACACGCCAAAAAAGACATTAAGTAGAAGCAGGTAGAAATAGTAAAATTTTTATTAAAAATACATTATATTTAAAATTCTTACATAAATGGGAATAATAAAATAAGTTTTAGCGCCAAAGTTACGCGGTATCTGGGCAATTCTAGATTATGACGGGATCATGCAGCATTCACGATATCTCGTAAAGCTGACGCTTCATAAAAAATTTACTGATGCCCTTATTTAAGACCCGAAAAGATGAAATCCGGAAGGAGACGTCTATAAAGATCGCCTTGTTGGTACATGATTCGAGCGGGTTTTAATATTAACGAAGATACGACAAAAACATTTTTATTAAATTTTAACATTGTCCCCTATGTAGCGTTTAATGAAACACATATTGTTTTTTTTATTATTAATAACCTTCTGGCTTAGGAATTAAAATCAATTGACTAAACATAACACAATGACTAAATGAATGGTATTGTGATTTTAATATACAAGTAGATCTAAAATAATGATTGACAAGGTTAAAAGAATTTATTCTTCAGCAAGATTTTTATTAATCACATTTTCGTGTAAGAGAACCAATTGTGTATCCAATATAACAGCTATAAATCATATTATTATTATGCTCTTGACACAAGATGTCTAAAGTATCACAATATTTAAAGTGAATAACAAGCTATTTATAATCCGTTTTTTTTGTTTTCGGTTTTTGATAATTTAAATAACATGTTTATGAATTGAAAAACGATATTAAACCGAATTTAATTGGCAATTAATTTGTTGGAAATTATTTGTTTATCCCTATGAATTTGGACCTCATAATTTTTATAATTAGTCTCTGCATGAATGTTTCTCTCGGCATAAATTTATAAAGAATAAATTAAAAAAATCATATCACAAAAAGTAAATGGGATACGAAGATGAAATAAAAAGCAATCTAATGTAAATTTAATGTAGTTTTAGTACACCAAACAGGATTCTTTCATTTTTAGAATTGCGAGTATATGAATTTTTTTAATTTAACTCAGTACTCCTGATGATGTTGCAAAAGTATTGAAACCGGTAGGATCTTTAGTTGATACCAATACTACTTCTAGGAGCGGCAACAATTCCAATAAATATAGAGTCTCAAATTTCAAGTTACCAGATACAAAGTGATCAATATTTGCTTCAAAACACATTTCGAAGTTTAAACAATTTAATGTGATAATGTTGAAAAACTAAACTAAATGTCTTTGTTACCATCAAAATACGATTTAAGAGGAAAATGCGATTGTTGCTTTCTGCAATTAGGCAATTGGGTGTTTCGGGAATGGTAAATAATTAATCGGCTTAGTTGATACGTTTTACGATCTGTGTGAGGTTTTCGATAGAAATCTAATGATTAATCGAAAATTGATGGGATTTTAATAACAAAACCAGGAACACGTAATTTTCTTATATAAATTAACAGAACAATAAGTTTTTATTTTCAATTTTACACAACATTGCATAATTATGGACAAATTGTTATTAAGCGTCCATAAGTTTTCAATAACTTATAAAAATAAGTATAAACAGTAATAAATATAAAAGAAAGTATGAAATTTTTAATGATTATGGCAACAATCAATATTTCGTCCGTTTATAAATAGTGGGCTTATATGAAAAGGAGTTAATGACCTTGACTCTTTTCTAAATAATTTGATGGTAGTATGAGTTTTACGTCGAATACTTTGAAAATACGTTCTAGTCCCACCTCAGAACTCGCTAACACATGGTCCTCTTTCTAATTTAATTGAAACTTCCTTTGGAAACATAATTTACTTTAAAATATACTTATTACAACTTTATATGTTATTGTAATAATACTTGCTGTAATACTAGTTATTACAGAATCCTTGTTTATAATCTTTCCTCAGATATCTCAAGGAAGATAAATCATTCAGCTAAATGTCTGATATCTTTTAGTAAGTAGTCATTTTGAAAGCTATGGAAATAGTTGTAGCAAAAATAAACATATTGTCATTTGCAATTTGTGAAAAGAATGGAACGGTTGAACTTTTTATGGTTGGGAATTTTAATTTCTGCGCTGCTAAATCTTCTTCTGCAAAGTCTTTTGAAATTTTTCTGATTTGATCTGAAACTTCGTAACAATTTCAAATTGGTTATTGAATCTGCTCAGTTTTTACTATAATTCCTGAATATTTCTTTCAAGTTTCAAAAAAGTTATGTTAACGTTAAAGCGTACATTTTTTTCCGATATTTTTCGATTTGATCACCCAAAACTATTTTATTTCAATTTTTGAAACAATACTATATCTTTTATTTGAATCTGTACCCTTTAGAGTTCTATAATCCCTAAACAATTTATGAATCTAGTTGGAGTTTTACAGAAGTTATGAATTTTAATAGCCTTAAAGACCTTTTTCGTTTTATATTCGGCAACAACGTTGCATTTTTTGTTGGAATCCCCATACATTTTATTTAAATTTCTAAAAATATGGTCATAATGTTGTGTGCATTCTTTGATTATGTAGAAACCCTCAGTTTTGATGAATCATCTTTTATAACATATACTTTAGCAGTTAATGTGCCCAACCTCAATGTGTAGTTGATATGTGACACATCAAAACATTCTACAAGTAGATTGGTACAAATTACTGATTACTGGTGCTACTGCTAAAAGACTGTCAACAGCTTTAATACAAAACCCTGATGGATTATCTTTGATTATTACCAAATCAAAATGGTTTCAATTTAAATCCGGATTTTCTATAATGCGCGGAATTGTTACGTGTTGTATTTATTTTCCATTATAAATAAACCAAAGTCCCGCTTTTAAACAGGATTATGATTTATTTATTGTGGAACAGAAAAATAAATTAATTATAGTTGGTTTTCTTTTGAGATTATTCTGTATGAATAATAATAAATTTCACGAGGTGGCGCTCCTAATCCATCTTGATTAAAAATCCTTTGATATGAAATGAACCTTTATCTTTGTTATTCTAGTTTTCAGAATCTTTATCTTTAGTTTAGTTTAATTAGTGATGCAAACACTGTTTAAAAAATTTGTTGCCTATTGTCATAAAGTTGATTGTACATTTAAATAATAACCATTTAATAGCTTGATTTTTCCGTTAAAACACTTTTTAGTATTTAGATATTAATTTTATTGCCCGATATCATGCAAGTATTAACTTGATAGCTATCGAATAATCGAACGATACTTTGTAGTAATTTTTATTCAATATACATCGACATATTTTTATTTTTAATATTTATTGTTTTATAAAAATTATATATTAAATATGATTCAGATTTCCATCAATGCATACACGTATTTCATTGAACTGGACCGTGAAATCGATTCGATCCGACTTATAAAGAAAATGATTACCTCCTCCTCTTTGATATATCCCTTCCTGTCGGGAATTTCATCGACTGTGCATAATATGGTAACGAGCAACTTTTCTTTGTTCACCGTTCGACGAGAAAACGATTCCAGAACGATGGTAACAGACAGTCCTAAAAGTACTTATACGAGTATCACTCGGATAACTTTTGCGGAGTTACAACCGCACGAAAAACTTTTTTTCTTTTTCTTAGTTCTTTATTTTTATTTATCTTTGATTAAGTATTTTTGTAATATTTAGCAATAACGATTAATATCTATAGCCAAATTTGGCGCGCTTTGAAAAGTTGTGGTTTTCGTATGTCCGTCGCGAGATGTCGCGTGTCTCTACTCTGAAGAACGATCGCGGGCGGTGGCGCGGCCAAAACTGCGCTCCATGTTCAACAGTGGAAGAACCCGTTGGGGTAACGCACGCGCTAAAATCCTTATTATCTAGTCAACCCCCCCGCTTGAACCCCCCTTCCAAAATAGATCCGTTTCTAAACGAACGAATATTCAAGTTTATATTAATTAAATCTTGATAAACTTCATTCAGTTTGAATTCCAATCATAAAGATACAAGGAATTGTTTTGCATTAAAACCAAAATACGTCATAAGTACGGTGTATTAATACTTTATGAAATGAGTAAGACTTTTTTCTTAGAAATAAGTAAGATGGGTTTTTGAACGAATTCGAGTTTGTTAATTAAATCTTGATAAACAGTGTTCCCAGTTTAAAATTGGGCTACATCACGTCAAAAAGTTTAGCGTTACTACAGGTGCGCTTGGAAAAAGTTTACTTCACTTCTCTTTATCTTCCGTCTTTAATTAGGTGGTTCGCAATTTGGAGTATTTAGTTACTTTTATAATTAATTTTGTATTAATCTGGTATTATTACACGAAAAAATGTGATGTTTGCAGAAACACCATCACAATTAAAATTTTTAATTTAATAGAAATCTGTTTAATCTTCTCAGGGATTAATCGAGAGTTATAATATTATTTTGCAAATCATTTTTTTCGTCTGCCAAATCTAAATTAATTCGCGTGAATTCAACGTGAATTACGAGTTGCGATTCTGATTTTACTGTCAGCCTTTTAAGCTGAATTCGTTATTACATTGGTGCATGGTGCGTAGCAATTTTTAAAATTTGCTGATTTTTACGGAATTGTTTGTGAAAAAAATTTAAATTAAGTCATAGTTACGATCGGACAGTTACAAATTCCGCACTAGTTTGCAATTAATCATTCCTCGTACATGACATTCATAAAACACTGAACTAGTCACAAACTAACAGCTAATTATCTATCCGTTCAAACCTATTGGGGGCAGAAACTACATGTGCCATATTTTTTGCCACATTTAGTACAGCAACTACATAAATCATAATTCGTTTTGATAAAAGTGTTTGTCCTTTTATTTTCCGTTTACACTTCATATATTCGTTGAAGAGAATTCCTTAACGATCCTGAAGCCAGAATTCTTGACCCGATATTCAATTTTAAGAAGCTCATCGGAACGACAACACTTCCAGAGATAAGGAACATCCTGTGGTAATTTTCTGACTAACTATTTTTCAACAAACAAGTCTCAACTCAACAAGGACTCGATGTAGTGTTCTTATATTGGGACTTACAAAACTCTTTGGTAATCTTGGGTTAAACTCGAGTCTAACACTGCTTTGAGCGTGCACAGTTCGAGAAAGTGTTTCTTGTGATTTCTCATCTTTCCCAAAGGTATCATCCTTCGAGATGAGATTTTTGCCTATAAAGTATCCTATACATACGAGTTCCTAGTTTCTTCAAACAGTAAATGTGCCACATATAACACATAGTATATTTTAAAAGCTTGCATCTTCAGAATGCATTAGTTCACAAATACCCTTTATTTGATACCTTACTCCACGGCAGAACATTTTAATACTAACATTTTATCAAAAAAAATTGGTCGTAAAATAATTATTTAAAAGTGATATAAAAAGGTAAATTGCCGAAGTACTTCTTTCCTTACCTTTTTAATGGCAAAACTGTTTTCAAAAATCTGTTCTTCCAGAAACCAATCCTACTTAAAGTCTAGTTTTAAACATAAAATTTAAAACGCGATAATATGTTGTTAAATTTTAGTTTATATTCGTGAGAGTTTAAACTAAGCTGGGTAGTAGTAGTAAACACTTGATTTGCCAGAGAGGTAGTTGCGAGTTTCCGTCTCCCACCGGACAAACTCTTTGGTAATAAAAATTGCGTTTATGTCATCCACCCTTTCCTTCTATGATGTCGATTTCCCTGTGGCGATCATTCCATCAAGTCAAGGGTCGTAGAAATCGATTTCCAATTATTCCTGTATAAATTCTCCATTTAGTTTGAATTTATATTAGTTTAATTCGATAAACTTTTGCTTATACTTACAACAAGTACATATTTCAATTAATATGATTTATTAATTTCTTTTTTCCCACATTATTTAATTTTTTATAAAACGATTCATTGCAGTTCAAAATAAGTCGAAGAAATCGTATCTCGAGGGAAATTTATATTGGTAATTCTTTTTAGATTTTCATATTGGAACAGACACGCATTTACAAAACGTTTAAGGCAGACTTGATAACCTGTCTTCTGTTCATAGCGTGCAAAAAAGCACTTCTCGTTTAAACAACATATCAGATGTCATTGAAACAAAACATTTTTATCGCATATTTTATCAGAACAAGGTAAATATATGATTGCATCACAAAACTTCACCAACTCCATTAGGAAATTTATGTCACAATAATGTTATATCAATTAGAGATGGAATGAAGAAATGTACTAAGTGTAAATAAATAATAATAGGAGTGGTTAAACAATATTCCACGGTAGGTGGAAACAATTATAGTAATTAATAAATTAGGTTCATATAGCGTTAGTAATTGCGCACGCCTTTGCGTGTTTTTTTCTAAACGTTCAAGCTTGATGTAGTGCTGTTATTATTTTCGTAGGTTAGCACGCAATGACATTTTTCAGCATTTTTATACACGTTAATCAGATTGTTCTTCTTAGATCGACCTCTATGATAACGCAGTTAGGATAAACAGTTATTTTACTTCTAAGTTGACCTCTTAAAGAAATAAAATATTCACGATTTTTATCAAATCACATCAATGCTATATTTTTTCCTTGTGTGCATAATGAACCGTTGCATATTATATATTATAATTATAGTTTACATTACGTTGTTACATTTGCAATCTCCTCCGGTAATTGAATTGACGAACGCTCAATTAACTTTTCAACACGTCCATGTGGTTTCTAGGATTCCGGGTAGTAATTTGACTTCACGTTCGTGCTCCTTAATCTCGTACTCGCAGTTCGTACCGTACAATGTTTAGTATTTATTACAACCACACATGCAACTTTCAAAAGTGGTGAAAGTAGTAAGTATTAAAGATATTTTTTAAATTTTATTTCGAATTAATTTTTATTTTCGATTATTTTAAATCGAAGTTGTAGTTTACCAGGCACATTATTGATTTACTACTTACAATATAAATATTTGCCGTTATAAATTTTGCAATAATGATTTCCATTAAAATTCAATTTAGATCCAATCGTTGTAGTAGCAATAAAGAGGCACTTTCATCTTTAATACGTTTTATAAAGTACAATCATTATGGATTGATGATTGTAATTGTGTTTTGTTATTGATAATTGAAAAGCTCCATTTCTTAAACTGTTTTTGTGGCGTGTTATACACGCATCAAGTATTACGTCGATACGTTTTACGATATCTTGCGTCGTCTGCTATAAACGATCCCAGACGAAAGATCTTTAGTCTAATTGCATTTAAGTATGTTCGATCGCAGACGCATTTACCGTGATTGACGAACGCTCTTTTGTTGGGACACAGGGCAGATGGCTTGGCCGATAAGAGTTAGATCTGTCTGAGAAGCTCTCTATTTACGATCGATTTCAAACGAAACGTTTCGAGGTAAACTTGGGGTTGATTTAATAGACGAAACGATCTTTTGAGGGGTTACATAATACAAAGGACAACCATTAAGTAAACATAAAATTTGTTTTACTTTACTAAAACGTATTTTGAATTGAATAAAAATCCCAAATAGCTTTTGATATTTGAAAGGCGAGATTAAAAGGCGATTAACAAACTGTTTAACGATTCTCTGTGAATAATTATTAATTTCCATTTACATCTGCATAACGGGCACATTAAGTATTCGCACGAATTCAGATTTGCCGGACAGTGAAGTGAATATCCATGTCACCTAATGCACCTTCGAGCTGTTTCACTCGCAGCCGTTTATTACCAGGACCACCTATAATATGTAGCTCTTCCATGAATATACGTCCATATACTCTACCCGATCATTTCCAACATCCTCCGGTAATAAACGCACAATTCAACCGCATTACCGCGGTCACTCACTCATCATCTCTCTTCCTCCGTAATTCGCAATTCATTTACGGATTCGAACGTTAATAGGGAAAATTTCCACTTGCGCCGTAATGCTAGTTGTAAAAGTAATTCTGAAAACCAGCCATCAGAAGCCGTTATAAGATTTGAATCCGACGACCTTAATAAGAAGTTATCAAGGAATCTTAAGTGATTAAATTCGCTTACTACAATAAGCAAATTGAAGTTTTTAAATTCGTTAAAGTTTGTTGAAAAATTGCAAGGTTTAATTTATTTTAAAGCATTTGTAGGGAATTTAGTTCTTCTTTAAAACTGCAACAGTTATATCACAAAAAATTTTAGGAATTTTTAATTTCCAGGTTGATATATTTAAAGAAGTTAAAAATTTAGTTCCATAAACATACAATAAACAAAATGGGGATACGAATTAATAATTTTCGAACAAACAAAAATTGAACTTTATCGATTTATTACATAAAATAATAATTTACGTGTAATATATTAAAGGTTAGTCGTAGGTGCGACCACAACATAATCGATTAAAAATGGGGCATTGAGCGTGAAAATTGTATTGCAAGCTCTACAAGTTTCAAACAAAAAAAAAACTGGAATTAAATAGGCCGCTACAACATGCAGGATACAGATAAAAAATTCAAAGCGGGTAGCGTTAAAGTAAATTTGCCCCGAAGCTGTATCCATTCTTCTGATATAAAATAACCGTGGTTTTAGGTAAACAAGTCTATTTTAATGAATAAAGCTTCATTGTCACAATCGCGACTCGACGGTGGCCCGCCGTTTTAAATATTCCATTATTGCCGTTGACAGCGACAGTCAGGCTGAATTATAAAACTATCTCTTAACAACGAAACGCCCCATTATCAGGGCGAAAGACGGGAACAATACCAGTGCACGATACTGTCAAATCCACGTTTTCCGCTAATCGTGTAATTGATTATCATCTGAAA